GTATTAGCGACTGCAGATCGCATCTGTTAATGGGCTGGTATTGTTCACGCGGATCGAAAGAATAGTGTCTTCCAGCGCCAGCCAGCCGGCAGCCAGTCGAGGGAGGCTGCTGAAGTAGCAAATTGTTTCGCCATTCAGAACCGAGAACTGAGACGACTGTGTAATTTCTCCATCGTTGTGATCTGCACGAGAATTTCGAGACGACAGAGAGATTTGAATTCGCAAAGAGCCGCTGAAAGCCCGATGCAAATTTTTAAATGCTACTGTCTCTGACGCAAGTGTTTCTTGGTTGAAAACTTAATACATTTTAGAATTTTTGTTGGTTCACACAATGCATTGCATTAAGAAATATCCATACAATTATTTTATATACAGTATTGTAACAGCTCCCAATTAATTTATTAAAATCACAGAAATTGCAATCCCTCCAAGATTAATGAAATTGTGCGATTTTATTTATGAAACATGTAATGTGCTTCCAGTATTCTATGTAATACTGTTATTGTTACAAGTGAAACTCGAAAGAAATCGTTGGTTATTAATGTGACTATTGCATGCACCCCGGACGCGAACGATGTCGTGTTTCTCGATTCAAATAGACATCGTTTCTGATTTATGTTCCTGGGAGATCGCTGTTAATCACATTGTAGCTTCCTGCGTAAGATTACTCAGTTTCAAATATGATGAAGAGAGGTGTAATTTTTTTATCCTATAAAACCTACCAATAAGTACGAATTTTCTGTATCACATTGTATTTTATCAACTATTCTTTGATAATCGCAAAGTACATTTTGCGAGATTTAGACATTTCGCATCATATTAAACTATCAAACAATACACTCCGCCTCTTCTAAAAAATCTTTTGCAGACAGATAGATTTATGTTGCCGGAATAAGCTAACAACTCTCTTTTGCGCGCACAAAATTGTTAAATTACTATACTATTTCGCACCAAATTCTATCGCCTCTCTTGATAATTACTAGGTAAGTTTAAACGCTGTCCATATTAAAACAGAAAAACTGTAAGTCTCTTTCCTCGACCTCTTCTATCAGGCACTTATTAACGAATTAATGTTATCGTGTTCAGTTAAATACGTTCTACCATACAGATCAGAATACATCATAATGTGCTGGAAAAAATGAGTTCAACTACCGCACTTCTAGATGGCGGAATATTATACAAAAGAGAAAAATTTTCGAGTACAGTATCGAGAACAATCTTGCAAAAAGATTTATAAATACGTAAAGTGTAAAAAATATCCTGAATTTAAGAACCACATACGTGAAACGCATAAAGATTTTTACAAGCATGAAGAGAATAACAAGAAGAGCAAAGACTAGAAATATTTTAGGCTAATAAGAGAAAAAAAAAGAATATATTTTATGTGATATTGTCCCAATTGAATTTTCATCAGATGAAAGTTTATCGAAACACGTAAAAAAGCATTTAGAACGAGAAAATATAAAAAACCATGGACAAGAAAATTAAGGTTGGAAATACTTGAAACAAATTGGAGATTTTTGTGCTAAATGTAAGCTATGTACAAATAAAACAAAAAGTGTAAAATTAACTTTACAGACTGATAATTTAAAAAAGCACATCGCGAATGCACATAAAAAAAGTAGTAAGTAATAGAGTCACGAGATAAACAGTCTTGGAAATATCAAATTAAAAAGTACTTCTTTTTGAATAAATGTTATACGAAACCTGTGCATTTTCGAACAGAATGTCGATTTTGCGAACAAAAAGTTGGATGTATCGCGGTAAAATCGCTTAAGAAACACGTAAAGAAGCATACATTTATTTACGACATTGAAAAGTCTAAAGAGACGGCATGTAACAATAACTGATCATATTTTAGGTATACGAAACAGCAAGTAAAAGAAGAAACAGAATGTATCATATTATAACAAAACTCAGATAATTACTTGTTCGAAATATATGTTACAAATGTTTATGTAAATTTCATCGAATCGCGTTTTGCAACATAGCTTGGAATAGCTTGGAATAGATACAATATCTACGTTTCTCAATGTTTTAAAGAAAGAACTGTTTGATTACATTATACAATTAAACATAAAAATATTATTTTTTTGTATAATACTCTCGTGAAAAAAGTAGACGTCAGAACCCTTAGCAAATCTCTAACGATTGTGTTAAGAAAAAACTGGAGGATTATATATGTCGCAGTTTGGTATACAAGTATTGTTTTCTTGTGCATAAAAAGTAATTTCCAAATGCATGTACGAAATGTATATTCCTTTAGTTCCTTTTTACAATGCTTGTGTAAATACTTTTTAAAGAGTTCGTCTACATTTTCTATGACTTTATAAAATGATTTTCAATCATGTAAAAAATAAAAGTTTGGATGTATTGGCAAATGCGTAAGAAACAAACATAATGTTCATGTTATTAAAGACCATAACTAAAGAGCGATTGTGACAATTTTGTAGAAAATTACCAAATATTCGAACAAATGTATGTTTTGTAACAATAAATACCGTCACGATAAATTTTTAATATTTGTTAACATGTAGGAAAAAGCATATAAAAATTTCTAAATAGAAAGAGAAGAGAAAAGAACGAATACCGCCGGACATATGTTCAATATTTCAACAAATTATGTTTACAATATATTATCAGTGTAAAAATTCCATCTATATTTCGATTTTCAATAAATAATGTATCAATATTCTAAAATATTACAAGCATATACTAGATTGTATTATTTAATCATTTAAAAAAAATTTTCAATAACGAATTTAATGATATCTCTAAAATAATTCTAGCACGTAGCAGATTATATCATTTTATCATTTTAACATTAAATATTAAAAAATGTCTCAACTATAAAATTAATGTTGTATCTAAGGTATTAAAAGTAAGAAATTGTATTATTTTATTATTTTAATGTTATTTCGTTTATTTCAAAAGTTCTCGAATCTTTTACGAATTTAATGTTATTGTTTGCGTCATAAATGAGCTTTTGACACATAGATTTGCACGTGGAAATAACACATATTTAGAGATTCATGTAATTATTTAAACATAATTCAAAATTGATTATATATTCAAATAGATACATAAAGCATGTGATAATAATTATAACATTTACATTATACACAAAAATACATTTACATAAAAATATATATAAGAAACCCATGTTTTATTTAATTACGTTACACAACTATTTATTACGCTTCCTAAAATTGAAGAACAAAAAATACGTTTAATTATCAAGTTAAATAAGCAGAATTACAATTTGTTCTTACTTGATAAGAGTGATCGGAATTAATTAAACTTTCCGGCCGATTTTTGCGGTCAATATATTTTATTATATAAATTTATATTTGTTACCTACTTTCTTATTTATCTAAATATTTTCTATGTTACAAAAATAGAAAAATGCTTTTTACTCACAAACAATAAAAAGACGGTAAATTATAGCAAATTTCAAATATTAAATAATTGCCTATTTTAATATATATATACTAGTGTTTAAATCTAAAACCTTGAAAACTGTAGCTATGAAGTAATTAACAACAGAATAAAATATAAAAATCAAACCAATAGTTTGGAGTATATTGCGCTACAAAACAAAAGAAATGACGATAACGATGGTGGCGCATTTAAAATATAAGTGAGATGAAAAAACAGGCATGTAAGGATTTATATTTCTGCAATGAATGTATCAAGTGCCATATTATATTTTATATATTTTACATATCAATAAATTAGAAAAATGCTCATATTTTATCGATGCAGTCTGTAATATAAATCATAATATTAATTATATTGACCATAATCTCCATTAATTTTTTGTACATTATTTCCCAAAACATTATTTATCTGCGTAACGAACGAAATGTAATGCTTCTCTCTGCTCTTTTACTCTCCACCATATCATTGTTCTCGCTCTCTCTCGCTCTCTCTCGCTCTCTCCCTCCCACTCTCTTTCTATCACACGCGAAAGCGTTCTTACTCTCTCAAAATCGTTTACAATACATATTTTGCATCGGATCCTACCGCTTGTCTTGATAACTAGTTAGGTAGGTAGGTTTGAAGGCTGTCAGTATTTACATACAAACAG